AGTGGCTTGCTGAAGAACTTCCTCCTAGAGGGAAGAGAGGGTCTTGCATCTGTTCATAAGCACCTCTTTTCTCTATCAGAACAATTATTTTTCACAAGAACAGTTTTTCTTCCATTGTCAGGAAGAAAAACAGCAGAAGGCAGAAACACACCTGCCTGGCCATTGAGACCTCACTCCTGTGTGAGACCTTATGTTTGAAGCAGGCCTGTTTCTATTGTTCATCTGGGAATATGCTAGTTCTAAAGCAAAGGAGAGCCTGCCAAGTGAGGTGGAGTGGCGGTTAGCAATGGGAATAGTGTCCTGACTTCATAGATCAAAGCTAAACTGTGGTTCTCTGGAGAGAACAAACCAGATCTGTCACTCTGTCCTTGTTTACTGCCGTTATTTATGATGACATCATAAATTATTACTTGATGAAGTTTTAACGACGTACGTAATTTTGTGCCCCGAGAGGTATGGGTTACCAAATGAGACTGAAACCTCAAAATCAAGCTGCGGTCTCAGCATAGAAAACATCTCAAGTGTAATGTGCAGTATGGGGTTGGTGAGTCCCAGGTCGAAGCCAGGGGCGTTTGCCACTTCTCCAGCACGAGAGAACCTCTAAGGCGTCCACATCTGTGTGTGCCCCATTGCTTGGACTGTGTGAGCAGCAGCTGAGGATTCCCAGTCAGGCACCTACCGGGAACAAGGAGTGAATTCTCCTTTCTGGGCCTCGTCTTTAATAGCATCATAACGGTTGAGTCTATTTCCAGTTGGTTCTGCTTGGAACAGTCGACCAGGGATTACTACCAAGCAGCACAGATAACACTGGACAGCTGCTCACCCTGCATCTTCCTCAGTGGTCCACGCCTCCAGGCGCAGGAAAAGTGGGACCTCATCATGCTGTGCCTGAGCTTGCCTTGCAGAACTCTGGGCGTCACTTTAACTTCTATAAAGCTGTTACTCCATGTGCTCCCTCGTCATCAGTGTGGCCGCCTCGCTCTGCTGGTTGTTTAACGACGACAGAATGTGCCGCTCAAGTGCTGGTGGCATGATTGGCAAGCTGACATTTTTCATTTACTTTTGGAACAATTAAACAGATGGTTAGCTGTTTAACTCGTCACCAATTGAAGAATGAGCAAACTTACAGTCTTTATCCCTTACTGAGGTTAGTTCCTCAAAATAATCAATTTCAGCTCCTATTCATAACTTCGAGACCCAAAATACATTCCTTCCATATGCTCAAAAATTATAATTTAAAAACCTACACCAATGAGACACTCCTCCACCTTCATTGGTGTTTTAAAAAGCGCTTGTCTGTGTCTCAGCACTGCCTCCTTCCTTACTAAACAGCTGTCCTGTAGTCAGCTGAACTGCCTTCCCAGCTCTGCTGCCTGAGAAAGAAGATGACTTTACGGGACCGTGTTTAGACTATTTGCGCTAATGAAACTTGAACCAGGCTTAAGCATTCCTTCTCAGCAATCTCTGCCGTCTCTCACATTTCACAGCACTTCAGCATAAAGCCACCAAATCTCACTTTAAATCCCACTGGCTGCTTTCTCAACCTTTAAGTTATCACTGTTCTGCTGTTGGGTTCTACTCCTTAGTTAGGTTTGAAAGCTACAGCTAACGGGTTACCTGTAGTCGATTTATACAGAAAAACATGGAAATTTTCATAGTTGGCAAATATTGCCACAGCTCCACTTAATGGAGCAGTCACGTGGCTGCCAGCAAGTGTGCTGTCGGCTCCACACGCCCTGAAGAGCAGTGCAGGCTCAGGACTGCCTGGCTGGGTCACTAGAGAGTATGGGCTGCTCCAGTCCTCAGCCAGCGTCATCCTCCTTTGTGCTAATGTCGCAGAGATGCCGACCACATGACCTCTGCCCTTACAAGTCTTTTGTCCCTTGGGGAAATACTTTTAACGTGCGTAGGAAAATAGAAATGAGCAAGTGCTGGATTCTGTGACCTTCTCACGGTGGGAAGTGGTGCTCACACGCAGAGGGAAATGCTGGCTGGAGCGGCGGGAGAAGTATTGCTTGAGCCAGAGGGTGAAGGATCACTGGGGTTTTTTTTTAATTGAACTAAAAGTGAAAAAACAAACTAAATTTTTACAGCCTTGATGTTAGTTCAGGTGCGCTTGCCAGTACTACAGCAACAAATAATCTCTAGCTCTCAGTGATGAGAGTTTGCTCCCTTCGTGAGTCCCAGAGCTCACTTGAAGATGTTCCAGCCCTTTCAGCCACACAAGAACTCTGCCTGCTAAACCCATTTTCTGGAACCTGTGTCAGGAAGAAGCGTTGTTAGCATGTGCATGTCACTGACCATAATCAAGCCACATGCTGTACCTCATCCCAAGGGGAATGAAGACGTGCTGACCTATCATGTGGCAGGAAAGTGGAGAACCAGAAATCCTTGGGAGGTAGCCTCAATGCCCGGCACCACCCCATGGCCTCTTCAGGGAGGATGAAATGCTTGGTAGACCCAGTGAGTGAACGCAGCGTTTACACTAGCAAGCATGACCTAACGGTCCCACTGTGTGGGGACCCTAAAATAGTCTTCTCAGATCTGGATTCTACTAGGAAACACCTTTGGCCTTCCCATCTGTGGGTGCCTCAGTGTCTCGCTGAAATGTGAGCAAAGAGCAGGTCATTAACTGTGTCACTAGTTTCTGTCCCAAACTCTTCTGTCCTTTGAATTCTCGGAAGGTTATGTGTTCAGGCCACAAATCTTGGATAATCTAAGTTCATTGGTCCTCATGCCAGCAATATCCACATCACCCTTTATCTAACATCTGGAGGTGATAAATCCTGTGTTAATGAAGTTATTTGCAGCAAAATGTACCCTAGCTGTGGAACAAATTTCCCTCTTCTTGCTTTTCCACAAGACGCAAAGGATGTTGTCCTGTGAGGACAGAGACTCAAATTGGTGCTAGCCTGCTCTACCCGAGGCCCCTCTTGGCTGTTGACTGCTTTTCCATCTCTGTGCAGTTCGTCGTCAAAGCACCTATGCCAAAGTGTCCCAGATCCAGATAACAACATTGAGAAGACTCGGTTTCTTGTCCAGGCCCCAAAATATGAAGTCCAGAGATTCTTTACTCCCTTGAGGAGTTTAAAAACCCAAACCAGTCCTGTAGCTCCATGTCACTACAGGACCGGTTGTGTGAGGCGGGAACTGGCCTAGAGACTTAAAATCACACGCACACACAGACAGAGAGACAGAGACGCAGACATGGGTCACTCTTGATACAAGAATGCCAAATGCCAAACTTCATTGTGCTCAGGGGCATCTTATATAGGGATCCTTAGGCATGCCCAGCTCTCGGGATCTTTCAGCTGCAGGCCGGCCGGCCATCAAGGTCTCATGCTCAGAGCAGCTGCAAGCAGGAAAGTAAGTCAAGGGGCCAGGGGTCTGTAGCTCCCAGCAGAGGAGTAGATGGCTTGAAGAAAGCTTCTTTACTAATATGTAAATCCCTCCTCCCTGCCCTGTGTCTCCAGGTATGCCTGTAGGATGTGAGTAAATGCTGGCCATCAGAACAGTGACACAGACAATATAAGTGAGCCATTTTGCTGGTACCTGTGTATGTGTTTGGAGGAGCAGATGAGTCTCAAGAGCTAGTTGAAACCATTCAAAATGTACAGAAAGCCTACATATATTTTAAAAGAAGGTATATAAAACATAAGGGCCCCCTGTGCCTGCCGTAAAAATTGTAATACCCCTAAAAGCCTTTCTCGGGGTGAATTACTCCTTCCATCCTAGTCATTAAAGTGAAGGTTCTAACTACTTCCTAAGATTGCATTGGCCCCAGTGTCTCCTTCACAGTGTCGTTCCTGTGGGTGAGTCTGACTTTATCTCCTTTTGCCACCCTAAATCCCCTTGGTATACTTTAAAACCCCACCCTTGCCTTTTTGGTAATTTCTGCTCAGCTGGTTGGCTTTGTTTTTGTTGTTTTATTTGTTTTCTGTCAGGGGTCCAGGGCCTCTTGTACTGTTCTCACAGGGCCAAACTGCCTTGTACCTAGTAGATACCTAACTATTTGTCAACGACGCATTGTTAAAATGTTGTGTCTATATCAAGAGAAGAATGTTCGAATGTTTAGAAGTATCAAGCAAGTAACATGAATCAGCAAACCTGACTATGTTCTAGAATAATAGAGAATGAGTTTAAGAGCCCATAACGCTTCTATGAGACATGGGCGGATGTTTCTCTTAAGCTCCTTGTTGTCTCTGTGTAGGAGTTTGTTCCCACGAACAGAAGAACTAATGCTCCTTAAGATAACCCAGAGTCTGGATTGTTGTGTGACTTGTCATAGCCCATTCTTGGATCCGGCACTCTGTGGGCTACGTGTTGGTGACCTTTGGCCTGAGTGTAGCCATTAAAAACTTTTTGTTGAATTGCAATTTTCTTCTGTAGAAATGTCACACGTCACTCATATTAGGCTACGAATACTCTTTCTATAAAGGTCAAGCAGGAAACCTTCATGTCAGAAATGACGCTGTCACTTTGGAGCCATTAGCAAACTGAGAGTGTTATACAGTGTTAGCTTTAGAGACGGAGCCCTTCTCTAAAGCAGCCAAATAAGAAAATGTTGGGCCCTTTCTTGAAATGTTCCCAAACACATTTGTTTTTGGCCTGCTTCCAGTTATTTTTATTTCTTCTATAGGCGGAATTGGTTCTAAAGTAAATATTTGATGCCTCTGCTCAAACAGGGAGGAACACCGAACCATCTCTGGCATTCACAAGGTATAGGTCCTAGATGGGGTATATTGATATTCTGTCCCACGCCTCAGGCATGTTGATGAATATATACACATGCACATATGCATGCACACATTCACACCCAAACACATATAAATATGAGACAAACTTATCCCACCTAAAAAATTACCAATTGACTGGCCAAACATATATTTTATTGGAAGCCTTGACATCTAGTACAGTTTAGTGATTTCTTTTCTTCTTCTTCTTCTTCCTCCTCCTCTTCTTCTTCTTCTCCTTTTTTTTTTTTAAAAAAAATTTGGTTCTCCAAGACAGAGACTCTGCATAACATCCCTGACTGTCCTGGAACTAACTTGAAGACCAGGCTGGCCTTGAACTTACAGATGTCTGCCTACCTCTGTTTCTGCCTGAGTGCTGGGTCTAAAGATGTGCACCACCGCTTCCCGGCATAAATTGGTGATTTCTAGAAATTAATTTATTGGCAAATTGAATCATCGTGTATGTTCTAGCCCTCCCTGCTGTATAAAGGCTGTATGTAGGCTGAGATGGTCCTTAAGTGAGGAAGACTGCAGAGAAAAGCAAGAGTAGCTCATAGGCAAGTGACTGGCAAAGCAGGCAGTGTAAAGCCTAGGCACTCCACGTTATTTGTAGATCGGGCTTTTACAAATTTGCCTTCTCACTAAAAACCTACATGTAACCCAGAGCTGTTACTTGAAGCATTTTGTTGTCACTGTCAACGTGCAGGCCCACAGCTTGAGCTCAGAGAGGGTGGGGCTCTGCCCTCTTGTTTCAACTGCCAGCAACAAGCGTCCTCCCCAGGGGTCCATTTGGGGCCTTTTTTTTCTTTAAAGTTTCATGCTTTTTGTTGACTTTTCATAAACAAGTCCCAAATTTTGTCTTGTATCTGAAAGCACAAGAGGGTGGTGATATGCCTTCTAGAGAAAATCCAAGCATTAGGTCAGCTCTCTCTAGGCAAGCGTCACTCTGCGGCTGGCTGCAGCTTCAGAGAAGCCACAGTGTGTCTGTAAACAGAAACACACACACAAGCAGTGGAGGCAGGCAGTGGTGGCACACACCTTTAATCCTAGCACTCAGGTAGGCAGATCTCTGTGAGCTCAAGGCCAGCCTGGTCTTCAGAGCTAGTTCTAGTTCTAAGACAGCCAGGGCTACACAGAGAAACCCTGTCTTCAAAAACAAAACAAAACAAAAAACCAAGTATTGGAGTGCACTCATGGGAAGCACAGCCCTTGCTTCCCTGAGTAGTGAAGTAGTGGTTCAGCTTCTTGAACTCAGCACCATCCTGTCTTGAATCACGAGAATCAACTGTAACCCTGTTTACAGGGCTAGAGTGGGAAACACCTTGCTCTCACCCCTTTGCCCTTAATGAGAATTGGCTTTTTCCTTTCTCCAAAGCGTCACTAAATGTTGCCTCTGAGATGTCAACAGCAAGCCTTCCTTTAGACAGAGTGTCCTTCTGAGGTTCTATTTTATGAACTCGTTCCCTGGAGAATTCCAGCTCACTACAAAACACAGGAGCTGTGTGGCTCTCTCCAGTGTCCCCACAAGTGTGCCCAGGCATGGACTTAAATTATCTAAGGTGCAGGGAGAAGCAGGTTAAGGTCATAGAGTTCTCAATGAGAACTGGCTTCTCAGATGGATTCTAGTCTTTGGCTTAGAATCAAATCATCTCTCATAAGAACCCAGGTATTCACTAGGTAATATTTCACTGTTATCTTGAATAGTCAATAAATTAGATCCATCCTGTCTCAAATTTAATAGCTGCCTTATTAACCAAAATTGAGTATTAATAATAAAGTCAACATATTTACTGCCCTTTTTCAGTAGGATGATTTTCATTATTCATTACTCAATTACTTCTGCAGTAAAAAGAAATGAGTTATGATTTGTTGTGGATGAACACGTTATTAAATTAATGGCTTGTTTCAAATATAAAACTTTGCACTTCACTTTATCTGGACAATAAACCTGCTCTAATCAGAACAGTAAAACCCACTCTATTTTTAATTACTCTACAATAATATATTGTCATATACCTGGAGTATGAAAACTTCAAGACGTAGTCATGGTCAAATTACGCAGCAACCCCAGTGAATGATGTAACAACCCTCAGAAGATCTGTTGTTAGCCGCGAGCGGAACCAGGTCAGGCCAAGCTCAGCTGGAAGAAGACACTTGTTAACCAAGGAAAATGCATCTGAGAGTTGGAAATATTGCAGTAAATGGAATGGGCAGCTTACCGTGGCCACCTCATGGATGGAGCATTATGGAGATTCCCTGCTTTCAGTGAGACAGGAAGCTTGATGTTCTCCATGTTTATTTCATAATTACTCCATAAAATCCAAATGAAAGTTGTTGTTACCCGTAATTAATGACAGTTTAATAAAAAAGAAGGGAGTCTGGTAGATGGCAATTATTTTTTAATAGGGCCTACGTGAAGGAGTTAGCCTCACAGTAAACTCCTGGCCATGGTTTGTAGCTGAAATGGCTAGCGGTTGCCATCTTCCAGATTACTCGGGCTACTGCTATGCTTGCTCCAGTTACGGTGCTCTGGTTATGAAACAGGACAAAACAAGTGATCCTATTAGCATGCCAGTCAGGGCCTTCCCTAGGATAGAGGAGTTCTATGTGTGTCTTCAGGGCCCTTAGTCTAGAGCAGCGGACTCAATCTTCCTAATGCTGTGACCCTTAATACAGTTCTTCGTGTTGTGATGCCCCCAACCATAAAATTATTTTCTTTGTTACTTCACAACTACACTTTTGCTACTGTTATAAATTATAATGTTAATATCTGTGTTTTCCCATGGGCTTAGGTGACCTCTGTGAAAGGGTCATTTGACCCAAAAGGGTTGTAACCCACAGGTTGAAAACCACTGGTCTGTGGACAAGTGGGCCTGAGCTAGGTCCAAGAGTGAAGAAATGGGTACAGCAGGAAGGAACCCTGTGTATGGTGGAAGTTAATTCTCTTCTGTCCTTTTTAAGAAGTGGGAGACAAGAAAGAATGACAGTTCAATGCTAGCCATGGACATCCTCCTGGATTGGAGAGCAGGATTTTTCCAGTTTTATAAATGGCCTGAGGGCTACTTGGGAGTAACGGGCAAACATAGTTCACAGCATTTGGGACTTAGTGTGTCCCCTGCTCCAACCATCATCCTGTGTTTCAAGCCTCCAGGACCTTTTGTGCCTTCTTTAGGCTCCCATGCCAGGCTGCCAGCAGGACATGGAGCAAAGTCCCCCTTGGCTCTCCCCCACCTCCCTAAGGCCATGGCAGCAAGCCCTCTGTGAGTCCTGTAACTTCCTGTTCTTTCAGAACTAATGGAAATGAAGAATGGGCAACCCTTCTCCCACGTCACAGCTAAAACCAAAGCTGAGAAGGGCTGACACAGACACAATAGGGCTGGGTGGATGCAGGTTTCTCTTGTCTGCGTGTTCCCCTCGCTGCCACCTCCCTGAGAAGGAGCGAGAGTCAGTATCCTTCAGTCAGAGCGGAGGGTCTCAGTTCAGAAATGAAATAGTATGTATGTGCTTGAATTTAAGGGTAAGAAGGAGTCTGGAAGGTTCCGGCAGTGGACTGAGCATCTCCTTCTGAAGACTGGAATCAGGCAGGAGGTGAGGGGTTGAGCTGCGCTCTGATGAAGAGCAAGGGAATCCTAATGCAGAAGGCAACTAACTGCTGTACATCTGGGTGCCTTCACATGTGGGCTCTTCTCATTCAGAGCAAAGATAAGCCAGGCCTTAGGAAAGACCTCACTGGCCTATTCATCCAAAAAAACAAGGCCTTCTCTGGTATCATAGAGTTTTTTCCTTTTTTTAATGAATTGTGTGGTTAGAAAAGTTTTTTAAAAATTAAAAACAAAATTGTGTAAGCTGTTCTGTAATGAATTCCCCCAACCCCCGATTCCATTACACCTGATGAGGAAGCCGCCTCCCACAACCTCAGCCCGTGAATTAACTCCTTCAGAGAAACTGGGGTTCCTGTTTGTGAATACCGGCTAAGTGGCCCCCAGCATCCTCGGAGATACATTGTCTCCTCACAAAATCCCCATGGTCTGCCAGGGAGTGCTGCCCATTGGAGAAAGTCTGGGTGATCTCACAAACGAGGCCAGGACCGCTGTGTAATTCAGCAGCACTGATTAGGAGGGAACGTGGCACAGGCTAAGATGGGGCAATGGTGGCTGCACTGCTCCCTCTGTGGCTTTCCCAGTTTGAATAAGCAACCCTGGCATTTTGTCTGACTAATTCCAGCTTTCCATGAAGAAGCATGAATTCCTCTGCTAAATCTTGCACTGTGTCCTTAGGGCTGCAGGAGGTATGGATAGCCACCAAACTTGGAAATTACAGTGGCTTTTCAAGTTTGTTTGCTTGTTTAACCTCCCTTGATCTCAGCGTCTTGCTGGCTCCTCTGTCACCACCCCTGACCTGGTTTCAGTTCTTCTTGCTGTGATAAAATACCCAAGAAAGCAACTTAGAGGAGAAGCCTCTGTCTTACCTCACAGTTCCAGGCTCCTCTGTCTGCAGGAACCCGAGCAGCTGGTCATGGCTGCAGTGAAGGGCAGAGACAGAGGATGAGTGAACACTGTGCTCAGCTCGGTGGCTCCATTCTCTTACACATTTCAGAATCCCTGCCCAAGGGATGGTGCCACCTCCAGAGGGTGGATCTCCCCACCTCAGTTAACACAATTTAGACAATTCCCCCCCACACACACACACAAGCATGCTTACAAAACCAACTTAACCTAGACAGTCTCTTGTTGAGACTTTCTTCCAGGTGATTCTAGAGCGTATCGCATTGAAAGTTAAAATGAACAATTCCCTGTAAAGAAAATGCTCCATTTTGGCACAGATGGAGGAAATCTTCTCTAAGCCCCACCCACTCTGTAGAGTGGAGCTGTTGGCAGTGATAGCTGCAGGGGGAGAGAGGATCATTCTTTCAGGCTGTCCCCACTAGTAGGTTTCCCACGCTCCAGCAGACGGCCTCAGACCCGTGCACTGTGCAGCAGCAGCACCCAGAGGAGAACTTGCTGTCGGGGACATAGAAGGGGCTGGAGGAAGCAGGGTGGGTCTCATGTTTCGTTATATACATGTATGAAATTCTCAAGAATAGGGAAAATTTTAATAAACAACCAAGCAACATGCTTTATAAGAAACTATGTGCCAGACAGTGTTGAGTACATCCGTTCTGTCTTCAAAATAAACAACACACCTCAAGTGCTCCCTGCCTCACCTACAGCCATTGGCAGGTGGGTGGGAGTTTCCTTTCGAAATGGGGAACTCTGAGGCTCCTTCATCCAGAGTACAGAGGACCCAGGAAGCTGGCCTAGGGTTTTTCCCGTGATCTCCAAGGGTGAACAAGAGTTTGGTTTCAAGTTTTACAAGATTAAGGTCAAAGGCATGTACAGAATTTTTTTTCACTTTGATAAGGATGATAAGCAGATTACGTGTCTCCTGTTTCCTGCGGGTAAGCAATCCAGGGTCAGATAAGTTCCTGTAGAATTGCCTGGCTGGTGGGAGGTGAGTGAAAGTCTGACTACATTTCTGTTCCTGATCCTAGCACGAGGGGCCTGTGTTAGATTTCCGTGTGTGTGTGTGTGTGTGTGTGTGTGTGTGTGTGTGTGTGTGTATGCATGTGTACCTGTGAGCACACTCCCTTGCACACATGGAGGCCAGAGGTCAGTGTCAAGCGTCTTCCTCTCTCTTTTAACATTAATCTGGAGACAAGGTCTCTCACTGAACCTCAGGGTGGCCTTTCCACTAGGCTGGGGTAACCATCCGTCTTCCCCCTACCAAACAGCACCATACCCAGCTTTTCCATGGATACTGCAGAGCTGAATCCACGCCCTTAGTGTTTACACAGCAAGTATTTTACCCACTGAGCTTTCTCCTCAGCCTCAGAGTTCTTGTTTTTCACATAGTTTATGGGCAGTTTGAAATGAAATTTCGGCTACTTCTTCCTGACATTTTTCTGTACCCCTGTACTTCACCCAGGCTGGAAGACATGCCTGCTGTGCCTTGCTTTTGCTTGTTCTTGTTTGCTGGTCTTGGAGTTTTGAGTCAGGATCCCTGTATCCCACGCTGGCCTTGAGCTCATAAGTTCTTACATCAGCCCCCCAAATGATGAAGATTACAGAAAGTGCCGTCATCTCGGCCATGAAGAAAAACACATCTTTGTGGAAAATCCTAGATAAACAAATAAATGTGCTTTTCATTTCAAGAGAAATCTTGGCTTTGTGGGGAAGAGCACTCTGAAAGCAAGAGGACCTGAGTTCGAATCCCAGCGCCCATGTAACAAACTGAGTGTGACTGAACATCCCAGTGACTCCAACACTGGAGGGAAGGCAGAGCCAGGGGTGCTCTGCCAGCAAACCAGGTTGCAAAGGCAGGCTTCTGGTCTAGTTAAAGCCCAGGCCAAAGGCAGTAAGGCAGAGAGCCGTGGAGAGAAAACACCTGGCATCTCTCTGGCCTCCATAGGAGCACAGACAGACGCAGACATGCAATTATCCTTGCACCAGACACACACAAACAACACACACGGGAAAAATAATTTTTTATATTGAATATAATTGTGCCCCCAAATAATCATAAAAATACAAAAATAAGGTGTTAAACCTTTTTAAAGAAAGTGTAAGAACTATTTCTGTCTGGAATAATTTGGAGGACTCTCATTCCTCTGAAGAAATATGGGTGTCCCCCGAACTTGTCCTCAGCTGTCACCCCACCTTTTCATGCTTGCCCTTCAGTTCCCTTCTCCGGTGTGGACCTGTTTGTTCACACCCTGGAGTCTCAGCACCACTTAAATCTCAGTACTTCCAAACACAATTCTTCTTAGCAGCCAAAACAGCACAGTGGACGGAGCTTGCTGTGATGGGAGAAGCTCCCCTTTCTGTACTCTTTCCCACAGGCCCAGCTGCCACATGTGGTTGTGGAAAGCTACACTGGTTGACGGCAGAGGGTTTACCAAGCATGCACAAAGCTGTGGGTTTGATCCCAGCACTGCATAAACTAGGCGTGGTGACATATTCTTGTAACCTCAGCACGACATAAAGATGATGAGATTGAGATCATTCTGTCTCAGAGTTGGGGTGGGGGGGCGCACCTTGCATAGTATGCACTAAATCGACCCTTTAAAATCCCAGATCTGGGACTGGAAAGAAGACTCAATGGTTAAGCACACTTGCCACTTATGCACAAGATTCAAGTTCAGTTCCCAGAACCCATGTTGAGTGGTTCACAACTTCCTGCAACTTCAGAAACTCCTTGGGCATTCATGTGTTGATGTTAAAGCCCAAATCTTCTCTTCTTCCTTCTGCATTATGAATATTCATGACTCAGTCTGGCTATTTTAAGAATGAGTCAGCTCACACGTGATAAGGAGTACGTAAGAAAAGTGTAGATTTAGACTGCTGAGTTATATGTTTACTTATTAGGAATGTTCTGAGCTATTCTCTGCAGCAGGAACAATATGAGAGTGCCTTTGGGGCCTAAAAAAAATGTACTGGGTTCCTTGGAATTATTTTAGAGTATTTTGTCTTGTTTCCCAGGCCATAACAGGAGTGGGGAAATGCCTCTGAGTCTCGCCGTTTGGGAAGTATGGAAAGATGTCCTCCCCTCAAAATGTCCATGGCTTCAGTAGACATTCAGAGATTGGAGCAAGCAGCTTGGTTTCCTTGTGAAAATGTGACAGAGAGGCTGCAGGTCACCAGACATGGCCTGTGTGTTGTGTGCCAAAGTATCCACGAGCTTGAGTCGCCCCATAGGAAGTCTGGGCCTGGCTCATTCCTGCGCCAAAGTGGGCCTTTAAAGGTGGTGGCATGCTTTTAAATTCTGGCTGCAATCCATTAAACCTTTAATTAACACTAATTAGGAGTCTGGGCTAATCAGGTTGGCCTGCAATGGAGGCCTGTGGATGCTGTGAAGAAAGGGTTTGCTAAATAAACCAGCGGGATGAATAGTATTGTGGGGCCCACGCTTTTGGGGGAGCAGCTGATGGTGTGGATCAGTGAGTGCCTTGCGCATGCAAATGAAGGCTGTTGGCCTCCACACACTTCATTAACAGTTGAATACAGTGACATTTTTTAAAGTTTAAACACCCTGTTCTTTCCTGTTCTTTTGCTTCCAAATAACCTATAAATTCTCTTATTTATAGAGCCTGTGTATGGGGTGAAGCCTATGGGGTTAAGGTGGCTACGGGAGCTTGTGAAATGCAAACTCATTTCAAAGGATAACTAAATAGTGGCTTTGGGACATTCCTTTTGTTCCTCAGCTTAAAGAACAGCGAAAGTCCCACCATGCAAGGCCGAGCAGCCTCCCATCTGCACTGCAGCAGAGCCTTCATTCCTGGACCATCCAGATGAATGAGCCTCCAGCAGAACCCAGTGATGTAGACACCCAGCAGTGCTCACACTTAGTAAGCCATGCAGTTTTGGTTTTAGCACTGAGCATCCCTGTAGTTATGCTACCCAACATCCTACTCAATTTTAGAGGCTGCACTGAAATCTTCTCCTCCCTCGATCCCTTTCCCGTCTTTTCATTAGTAGAGTATTTTTATACCCCATGTATTTTTAAAGCACTTTGTGAACACAAGATGAAAAATATGCAAATGATCGATAATCACAATCAAGAAAGGAAGAAAGTCAGTGAAAAAGAAGGCAGATGTCTGGTGTGCAGCCATCGCCGTAGGGTTTGTGCATTCTCAAAACTTATCTACAAAATGCTCCGTTACTGTTGTCAGCCGCCTTGTCCTCTCCGCACCCAGCACATATGTGTGGTTTAGCTTGTCAAGGATTTCTCCGCCCACAAAGTCCTCATCAGGAAGAGGAAGAGATGGGAGGAACAGTCACATTTCTTTTAAAAAAAAAAATGAAGATTATTCACATGTGTGCTTCCCTGAGTGACTGAACCTCATCATTCCTGAGAGTCCAGCCTCCTGGAAAACAGAACACCAAAGGCGAAGAGCATACTTATAGGAACTTGAAAGACTGAACTGGCTTTTATTAGTAATTCTGGGGTGACACAGCAACCCATTCTGCAGAAAACAACTTGTTCTGGTGTTGAGGAGGTTGTCTCTGTGGGCAGAAAAGGGCTACAAAGGGCAAAGGGGACATAAAAGCAGATTGACTCAAATTATTTCCCTTGCAGGGTTAAGCAGAGGGGACTTCTCATCCTAAGGTTCAAGGAACGCCGTCTCAAGCCCTCTCTTTTGCCTGGTTAGTAAGCTGCCTATTTCATGGAAAACTGCTGTTCAAGGGTCAGCTGGATTAGTGTCACCTAGCAGGAGTGACTGCTCTCTGGCTTGGTCTGGTCTTCTGAAGCCTCATGTAGGAGCTCAGTCCGAAACAATGGCCTCCCATGAATATGAGTTAATACTCTTTAGAGCAATTAAACTGAACTCTTGCAATAAAAAGGGGAAAATCCCTTGGAAAAATATAAGCCCCTGAGGCCTGTGAAACTGAGATCTGTAAGTCTCAGATGCTCACATGCATTCTGTATATTAAGGGACAGCCCATGTGTGGAGTCTACTTTGCCCCCCAAATAGTTTCACTGTCTAAGTGGATTCATCCATTTAAGAAAGCATCCTG